ATGTTCGCCATAGCCTTGGCGTCCCGCTGCCATAAGTCCTGTTGGGCTTCCGTCAGCTCACCTGAGAATGGACTTGAAAGCTCTAGGGTCAGAAGCGCTGCAGGCGATGCGCCTTGCGCTCGCTCGTTAAGACTGTCGATGATTTCGCCCAGGTCGCTGATCTGCCATCTTCGGCGCGGGCGGCGTTCTAGGAGGGGTTGTTTGTACACCTCTTGTGTGCTTGTTCTACTGTTTTTGATAACGGCGGCTCGTGAAATCAGTCACTGCAATGGCCGTCACAAGCTTCCTCTTAAGAGCTGAGCGCCAGACCACGACGGACAAATGGAAGTGAATCGGCTGCAGGAAGAAACGCTGGAGCCAGAGTTGTGGACTGATGCGCACGCAATCCCTGCACTGGACGTGTAACGGCCGAAACCCAGCCTCCCCACCCCTCCCAATAGTTCCAAAAAACAAAACGTTTCGGTCAAAACGTACTCGCTTGCGCTGAAGCACACGCGTGTCTGTGTGTGGGCAGATGAATGCAGCTGCTCGCTCTGTTTTTTCATACCAGCGTCACCTCCCAGAGGTAGACGCAGCTCCAGTCAGTCCTCCTTGGGACGGAGCCGCTTTAAAAAATTGGAGAGCACCCCAGAATCCAAACATGCAGTCGTTGGAATATTCTCCAACCCTGGCATGCCTTTCCCCCCCCGCGTCACCGTGCACCCGGACCGTCAGGGAAGTCCTTTTCGGCTTGCCGGGTCTGATGACGAGGACGGGAGCCTCCGACACCCGAAAACTCAAGTGGCACCTCAGATGTTCATAGATCGCCCCGTCCAGACCACGGCTCCTTAGAAATTCCAGGCAGGAGGCGTTTTGTTTAATGGCTCTACACTGAGTTCCAGGCTTGCAGGAGAAGGCCGTCACCGGGGCGTTTGCGGCTCGGTTTTCGCCCTTTGTAAGCTTGTTCTTCTGGTGCTTGCTCATGACCTTTAAGGCACGATGAAACTCTTTGCAAGCAATGCATGAAAGGAAGCTTGAAATGACCTTGTTGGTGCTCATGGCGAAAAGTCGGGTTCTCGGCGGGGAGCGGGGTAGCAGCTAGAAAAATGCAAGTTGCTCAAGTATCACTTGCCAGTCGCCAAGGACCCGTGCACCACGCATGAATGCTGGGCAGCAACGCACCAAAAAGCTCCCTCGGAACGATCCGGACCTTTTTTTACTTGCAGTTGCGGCGCGTGTACTTGATTGAGTCCGTAATCTCACTCGCACGGAGCCACAGCCTGGCACATGTTGCAATCCAAACAAAACATCTTGCGAAAAGCACCTTGGAGTTGAGCACGGGCCTCAACTGCTGGCGGATCTTCTTGCGAAGTTCACCGTCCTTGAGGGCCGCCAGCACCTGAGACGGAAGCAAGCTTTGTCCTATTTTTAAAGACTGACCGGCAGGCGAGCCTCTTTGTGCGCGGCAATCGGCTCCTTGCCCGCCTTCAACTGCACGTACATCCACTGCTTGTAGCGAAGCGTCATGGAAGACGACACGAAACTTACCATTTTTTGGGGACAGACCTCTGCATCTGTCGAAGGGCGACGGTTCAGGGCCATCTCAATCAAAATCGACCTTACCGTTCTGCGCGGTTTGCAGTGCACTGCGGGCTAACACATTTGAGGTTCTGACAAACACGAAAAAAGGAGCGCGTTCGCAAAGCTCGAGAGGGAGTCAAGCCTTGAGACAAAGGCACAAGCAAGGGACATGTGACATGCATGACATGTCTGTGCACTCCGCTCTAATGCAAGCTCTACTCTGGGGGAGGGGGAGCAGGGAGGGGGGGGAGAGGAGAGGTTTAGGTAAATTGAGCATTGGTTTCAAAAGCGTTTTGGATTAATTTACTTAAACTCAGCTTGTCAGCTGTTTAGACAAAGAATTTGGAAAATTCAGAATGAGACCACATACAATTTCTATTTACTTTATCTTGAGGGTTTAGGATTTAGGGTTTAGGGTTTAGGGTTTAGGGTGTAGGGTTTAGGGTTCAGGGTTCAGGGCCTAGGGCCTAGGGCTTAGGGTTCTAGTCAAGCAATTACTCGAGCGTTGGAAAAATAAATACCCCATCCCATAACATTAAGAAAATATGTCACTTTCATTTTTCGGATGCACCAATACAATCCCACCGCAACCGCAGCACCAAGCAGCACCTTAACTCAAGCCCTGAAGCCCTAAACCTAGGTGCTGAGGCCCTGAAACCCCAAACCCTGGCCTGATAACCTGAAACCCCAAACCCGGAAACCTTAAATGCCCCGTATCCCCCTATATAATCCCTAGTAAGGACTGTTAGTATAAGGGGAACATTCCAACCGGAAACCCTAAACCCTAAACCCTAAACCCTACACCCTAAACCCTAAACCCTCAACCCTCAACCCTAAACCCTAAACCCCATCCCTGATCCCAGAAGCCCAGCCCAGCGTTGATGCTGTCGGGCCCGGAGCTGATGCTGTGGCGCCCGGAGCTGACGCTGTGGCGGCGTTC